ACTCTTAATATTCTGAGAAATATAGTTGTTTAAAGTTGACCTTTGCATGAACTCATGAAAAAAAACTTATACGGTAGGAAAAATATGAACTCGACTTACTGCTAGAGGTCCCTTATAACACTAAAACACATTCAATACACATCCTACACTTGGAACTGAACCTTAACACACCTAATCAAGTAGGACCTCACCTGGTCCAAGCTGATAAACTTATGATGAATAATTAAAATATTTAGCATAGAATTCAGCTAGATGCTACACCATGTATCCAACATAATTTGCATAGCATAAGCAAGCAAGGTGATTGATTCTATTCAGAGATCTAGAAAAAACTTATGCACCCAAAATGAAAATAGGCTGGCATAGAGGGTTACTATGTTTGAGACCCTTGGACGAGAAGATTTTGTCATATCTAGTGTCATTAATCAAAAATAAAGTACCAATCATTAGAAATAAGATTTCATATAAGAATGATAAATTTTTCTGATAAACCAAATCTTTTTTTCAACTTCTATAAGAAAATTTAAACCCATTCTATTATAAGTTTTAGCCACGTCTAATTTGATAACAATATTACAATCAACATTAGATTTAGACATTTCACGAACAATTTCTTGAGCAAGAGTAACTTTTTAGGATGAACCGACCGGTAATAAAGTAACTTTGACTTTGTAGAATTTATCTTTATGTTTTGATAGCATCTTTTTATCACATAAGACTCAATGTGCGCACTCCATTTCATCCACCATGTACTAATAAGGTGAGTGATATCGTAGTCAATCTTCTTATTTATCTAGATAATAGATCCAAGATATTTGAGACTTACTTTCTTTTACACAACATGTGTATCAAACCTCACTTTTACAATAGTCACACGTGTTACATGTTGAACTTGCTCTCCATGTATTTAATCTTGGAAAAGGGTTTGATATACCCTTTAATTTTGTCCTTTAGAGCTAATATACTTTCATCATTAGAGTAGCTCATATATACCTCTACAGTTATACAAATGACTCACATATACCATTTTCCTCTAATGAAAGTGAAAAAATTAATTTTAATTTAAACGTTTAATTATTTTTTGAAAAAAATATAATCCATATGGGGTATATTTGATCCTCCTCACACAGATATATATTTTTTGACTTTTTTGTTCCAACGATTAATAATTTTGGGTATATTTGATCCTCCTCACACAGATATATTTTTTTTTTGACTTTTTTGTTCCAACGGCCTATATAAAATTATTATTTTAATGATCAAATTCGTTTATGTTTCATTTTTATTTGTTTTACAAGTACAAAAACTAAATTACAAATACCCGCAAAAAATAGTTTTGAATTTTTTCTTTACACTAAAGAATGAAATAAAAAAGGTCAAATACATATGCAGGTCCCTAAAGTTGTTCGCGCTTTTCCCCCAGGTACCTCAACTAACCAAGATTCCTATTAAATCATTTAACCCCCTATAATTTAATCCTTTTAAATATTCTTGGCTGATGTGGAGCCAAACGTGATCTCACGTCTTTTAAGCGCGTGCAGACGCTTTAAAAGCGCTGATGTGGATCTTGAACCACCCACCAACGATCTTCTTCCTCTTTTAACCCTAATTTCTCCCATTGTTCCCTTATTTCTCCTATTTTGTTTCTCTTCATCATTATTTCTCCTCTTTAGCTCATTATATTATGTCTCTTTTTCATTGATTTCTTCTTAATCATCAAGTTTCAATGTCGAATTTATCTTCTTCATCAATTTCTTCTTCTTCAACTGCGAAGGTACTATGTCAATGTGGGAACGTTGTGGAAATGAAGACCTCATGGACTCAATCCAATCCTGGACGTAGGTTCCTTTGTTGCAAAACTTCAAAGGTAAATCAAATTTTTTTTTGTCCAATATAGTAAAGAATCACTTTATTTATATTTCAATTTTTTCTTTAATTTTGTAGGCACAAGGTGGATGTGGATATTTTCGATGGTATGATGATGAAATGCCTGCTCAAGCTAGGAGGGTGATATGAGATTTGTTGAAAAGAGTCAAAACATATAAATTGGAGAGGAATCGATCAGGAAAAGTATGGATGATATGCATCATCGTAGGGGTGATATTGGCTACTTGGATTTGTGTAACAAAATAATCTTAGTTTATTCATTTGTCTTCTATTAGATTCCTTCATAAAGTATGTATGGTAGATTCTAGTGTTCTTTATGGGCAATTTTGATCAATTTTTTTTATTGTAAATACCTTGTGTTTTTATTGTAATGATTTAATTGAAGGAATGAAGATAATTTGTGCCTCAAAAGCAGTAAAAATTGATCATTCATGCCATTAATTTGCTCTTGTGAGCTCCAAGTTTCAAAGCAGTCAATACAAATTTCTGCTGCTAATTACACAACCAAAAAGTGACTTTTCTACATAAATTAGGCATTCCTTGGTGCACTAGGTGTTCCATGCTTGTTTTCCTTGACTGAGTGATACGTTGCAACTGTGAACCAGTGACAGCATCTCCACCATTCCACTTGAGTCCTCGAGGCTTATAACCAATTTCAATATTTGTTGGAGATGCATCCTTCTAAACTCTCGAATTGATAACTTTTTTCTCCTGAATACCAGGCTGCATAGAAATATCTTAAAATGAGACTTTATATAGTAGAGTAAGAAATGAACAAAATTATGTATACACTTACATTAAAGGTTTGACTACCACTTGCATTTTGTATAGATGCCAAATCCTATAGTCTTGGTCCTTTTTTGTCTTCCTGTTGATATTTAAGCTTCCACAGCCCTTGGTTGATCAGGTTGCTAACTTGATACTCTAACTCTTTTTTTGTCATTAAGCTTCAATTTTAACCTAGTTTTATATTGACAAGAATAGTCTGCAATAGCTTTTCTAAATTGTTCAGCACTTTCAAATATCATACCAAGCTCAAAAATTGCTACAACACAATTAGGATCAAATCTTACCTTTTTACCTTCTTCTTGGTAAATCAACACCCTTCACAAATTCTGAATCCAATTCATCCCTACTGTCTTCACTGTCCAATTCTGAGTTATCTATATATTGCTCATCACCCCCTAGTCTTCCAGTGTATCTAGCAGCCTTATTCCTTCCTATGTTTTCAAAGCCTCTATCAACACCAGCTGTTCCAAGCTTTATTTCCTCAGTTTGAGTAGATTTTTTCTTTTTCACTTTGTTTCTCCTTTCATCTTAATTCTTCAACATCAGAGTCATCCACATCAGGAATAGCATCCTTTTGAGAGTCATCACTACTTTCTTCATTTGATTCAGTCCATTCCACATCTAGATCTGATATATCTCCTGGCTCAACTTCCACATTAACATTTTCAGATTCAGCCTCATGATTCAACCCTTCACTTGCAGTCACATTTATATCTTCTAAGTCTTCTTCAACGCAGACCCACAAAGCAAACCCGTTGTGACCACTTCTACATCATCCACCACATGTTTTACATAAATGTCTAAAAAGTCACCACCTTTTAGGTCTTTGATGAGATTTACTAAAGTGAAATCAGTGTCCACCTCAATAAAGCCATTTTTTGTGGGGTCTTTAACACAACCCACCAACAGTAATATACCCCAATTGTTTAGTGTAAAAAAGTAACTCGATTATTGAGAAGTGGTCCTTGTCGATACTAACATATTCCACCTCGGCTTCCCCTCTATAAGTAATTCCAGTTTTGTCCTGAATAAACTTACCAACATGATGAAAATGAGTTATAATAATGGCGTCCATAAGATTCCCTGAAACAAGGCCCCAAATTTTTCTGACACGTTATGAACAATAAAAACCAAAAATTCTAACTTTATCCAAATATTAACAACAACCACCACATTGATACTAAAACCCAGTATATATCAATAAAAAAACACAGGCTAAACACATATATTAAAAACACACAACCACTACAACATGCTCGTCACTTACCTCACACTCGTCAACTCCAAAATCTTCTGCAATCTTCGATGATATCTTCAACATAACACTCGAAATCACTTTAGAATCTAAGAATTTCAGCTGTAAAAGTCATTGAAAGGGAGAGATTCTTAGGGTTTTCTCGTTTATAAACGAATTAGAAGTTATTTGGGGGAAAATTGATTTTTAGGTTTGATGACTTAATATATGGCACTGACGTGTAATTGGGTTGGAGTGTATTGGTCAAAATTTCCACGTGGGGAAGGTTCATCTCACGCGCCTAATTAACAAAAATAATTTATTGAAATTTGGCTCCACATCAGCCAAGAATATTTAAAAGGATCAAATTATAGGGGGTTAAAGGATTTAATAGGAGTCTTGGTTAGTTGAGGTACCTGGGGGAAAAGCGTGAACAATTTTAGGGACCTGCGTATGTATTTGGCCAATAAAAAAAAAGGAACTTGAATAATAATAATCAAAGAAGTCCGGAACAATTTTTCTAAGAAAAAAAAATTAAAATATATCTTAAAATTTGTTAGAATGATCATATATACCCCTATATGAGTTTTTCTAAAATTTAAAGTAGAAATAAATAAATTAAAAACTCATTTTTTTCACTTTCGTTAAATAAAGAATATATGTAAGCTCCTATTGTAGCGGTAAGGGTAAAACAAGTTGCACAACAATATAGATATATATGAATCACTTTCTTACAAAGGCACATCAATTTTAAATGGCAAAATTGAGGAGTATGTTAGGCCTCTCTCCTTTAATCTTGGACTTGCTCTATCTAAACACTTTAGAGTCTAGCATATACTTTTCCGACCTCAAACCCCAAGTTTCATCAACCAAAAAACTGTATCATCCGCAAATAATGCACACCGTGAATCCTCTCCTTGATAAGAGCTCTTATATTCGATCATGTGATATATGGTGTGTATCCGGTAACAAAGTTATTATAGTGGTGTTCAATGTAATTAACTTAATAAATTTTGATACCCTGTTTGCTTGCAACTCTCTCCATGATAGAAGGTAAGGGTGTAATAGATTGAAGAAAGATAAAGGTAGATATTGAAAGCTAAGCTAGATTAGAAAGGATCTAGATCTCTCAAATAGATCAAACAACAAGTCCTTCCAATAAGAACCTAAATAACTAAGCCAACAATTGAAATTATCAAGGGGAAGTTGACACAGTCTGGTGTATCGACATGATTGTGTGGACAATTTTAATAAACAAACACTCTTATTCAAGACTCAATTGTCTCCTCATGTCAATCAATTGCTGACTCCTCATGTCAATCTTTCAAACATCTACTTATGATTTGTTACTGCTCTTATTCCAAGTCATTTCAGTTTCCCAAGGACATCAACACAAAGATGCAGTTAAACAACATCATAGACAACTGTAACAATTGATGAATTAGACCAAACATGGAATCTGCATCTTTAGAAACAAAAATGGACACAAATTAGTTCACTTTGGCCAAATAGTTATGGGTCTAAAATAGAAACGCAGCTTACTACATATTACAAACATCTTTGTAATTCCCGTGAACAAGCTAAAACCTTAGGGTTCCTTTACCATATCAGATGAAAATCATAATTAGTGTGTTTTGTCCTGCCCTGCTCCCCATTTCTTCTAATGCCTGATTCACATTCAGAAACAAAAATGGACACAAATTAGTTCACTTTGGCCAAATAGTTATGGGTCTAAAATAGAAACGCAGCTTACTACATATTACAAACATCTTTGTAATTCTCGTGAACAAGCTAAAACCTTAGGGTTCCTTTACCATATCAGATGAAAATCATAATTAGTGTGTTTTGTCCTGCCCTGCTCCCCATTTCCTCTAATGCCTGATTCACATTCTTTTCCTTTACTGATGCAACCTTGGGCGGCTGTAGAGCGTTCTGACTTTGAGAAATTAATCAATAATTGCATGACAACTGTAACAGCCATGAGAGAAACCTGATATTGCAACACCCTTCCATGACGACAACAAGGCAGTTGCTTGTAAGATTTTTATGGTTCTAGATAAGAATGCATATGCCCAAGATGCCACTACCTGTTATTAAGGAGAGACAACAGATAGTTTGATATAAGAAAGGATTTGAAATATCCTCAGCATAATCAGAAAGTAACTTACCACAAGGGATTTGATTGGGTGGCATTGTCTTGCAACTTTTCTTCTCCAAAAGTGTCTTCGGCAATATGTTTGTCCAATAACTTACTGGAGGAAAGCAGGTCAATAGACAACACCAAAAGTGCTTTTTAGACATCACAAATAAACACAACAGGTCATTCCACAAAAAAATATTTCGTTAAGGATAATTTTTTATCGATAGAGTTCGGCAAGGATACATAACAAGGACAAACCTTAGCCAGAAAGATATCTCTACACCATTGGGCTATGGCATAATCATTTTCAGGCTGATCCTTCACCTCATGTCGCTTGAGATACACAAAAGAAAAAAAAATCAATTAAACACTAGAAGAAAATAAGCCACTATCTCAACACATTTTAAGTACTACAAGGCACCACAAAGATAACAGGCTTAATGTTGTGGCTTCATTAACATCTATGAATAGGATATGCCGAACTCCTCTTTTTCCATTGGCATCCATTAGCCTCCCACATCGCACATCAGTTGTAGCAAGCATAAGCAAGAAGTTCTTTCAAAATGCACCGGCCTTTAACTTGAACTTCCACTCTCATCCACAAGAGATCCACTTCACTGTCCCTATTAAGATTCCTCTAGGACTTCCACTTCAAGTACATGTACTGAAGCCTATCTTAAAAGTCTCAAACAAGCTTAAGAATCCTATTAGATTTGGCTCTGGCCCATCATACAAAAACAGCTGTTGAGTCACAGTGACAGGATGCAATTATGTCAATAAGGATCAAATTAGAGTCACCACTAAAAATAATAATCAAATCTACTCCCTCCTTCCCAACCTGTTTGGCACTACTATCTCATTAGTAATCCCAATCTAAAAAGAAATGCAAATTTATATGTCCGGAAACAATTAACTTTAAACTCCCTTTTACCCTTAACAAGAAGCTTTCACAACCACACAAATGTTATGGCATGTTTAAAACCACAAGTTTCAAGTCTTACAATCACACCGTTGTGGCAAGTTTAACCTTTCTGCCAAATCACATGTACCAAGCAAATTGGAACAGGAGTCTTTTTCTGTAAATATCCATCAGCAGAGAAGGAAAAAGAGAAACAGAGTTCCAACTTAATAGATAGTTTATTTACCACAGAAGCCTGCCCCTTGAAGAGTTTCAGCACTGTAGGTGCAGGTGAACTTTTGGAGATGCATATTGTTGCATCATAAATAGCTAGAACAAATGAGTTCATGACTTACTGCAGCAACAAAACCCTGAAATCAACAAATTACAAAGACACCACTTCAGGATATACACTAAAGATATAGCAACACAACGAAAGAATCGAGTTAAAGTGGAATAGAATCCATTATAAACTTGGGAAAAGATCTGTTTGGCATGCCTTAATCGGTGTATTGCATTAGAGCACCTTGACAAAAACAATAGTGTGATCTGTGAATCTGAACGAATCAGTCTCTTATTTATATTTCAATGGTTTTCTCCTCCTTTCCTTTTTTGAGAGCACATTATTAACAAAGAAACAAGGAGTTGTCGAAAACGTCTACAACATATTTAGATTTCTACGATTTTAAAGTTAAAAAATCCGATATCCTAGTTCTTCATTACTCGATTAATTAAGAGTGCATCACCATCTCTTGTAATTGTCTGCAAATTTTGAGATCCAGACAAATTGGCAAGATTATCAGATTTCCTAAGCAAGTGAAGTGACCCTATCTCTCTTTTATTTTGTTCTTACCTTTTTCAATATAGGCAACTACTCGAATTTCAAACTGCGATTTTAATATATAGAAGGTTTTTATACGTCTGGAACACTGAAGAAGCAACTACATCCACCAGCTAATTCTTAGGCTAAGTTCCTCATGGCACAGTTAGCTTCTTCTAACGAGGGAATGGGTTGTTTGACAGTATTCTTCTCGAGTAAGAATTTCAATAGATCATGATTAGGGAAGCAAGAAACTGCCAAGTGATCTCCTCTTTTCTTGAAGTCTTGGTGAATTGAGTTAACCTGGTACCTATGCTAGAGCAGGCACTTTGTAGATTGATCAAGGTACCCACAGGTTGACTACCATCATAATAAAAGTGAGAGTAAACAAAAAAAGAATATTGATCACTCAATCAAACTACCAGCAAGGCAGCAACTTAATTGTCCGTACACTAATAACAGTATTACGCTGTCGGAGACATCAAACTGGAAAGCACAAGACCCAAAAAAAAAAAAAGAGAGACCAAGCACCCTACGCAGTTCTGAAATTTAAAAGCTGTAGTGAAAGGAAATTTATGTAGTATTACCTAATTTAGAAGCAGGAAACACTTGGATATCCATAAACAGAAAATTGATAAGCAATCATCTAGCATTGTTTCCATGCAGCTGAGCAGCTCTTAGACTAGGCTCATCCTGAAGTGACATAAGATGCTGGATGTTATTCGTATCCAGTAAATTACTAAGTGCAAAACTGGAAGACAATGGACAAACCTGCAAACCATATGTGAAACTCGGCTGCCTAAAATCCAAATGCCCCTAAATAAATGAAAGAATCATTTTAAAAAATTCATGCTCTCAATCATAATTTCTATCCAATAATGGCATACATACTAGTCCTGGAATGCTTTGTTGAGACCCAAAAAAACCATCATGGCCAGGTGCAATTGTATTGAGTTGTCCCTGTAGCATGATTAGAAGAAATTTCGTTCACATGGATCTTAATCTAACCTGTAAAGAAAATCTAACTTAAATAGACCAATATCACATACCAGTCCTTGCATATTCTGTTGGTTAACATAATAGCCATCATGGGGAGGTTCCATCAAATTTAACTGTATCTACCAGTGAACACTAATTAGAGATCATAACAATAGAAAATCACAAAATTCTTTGTACAGACTAATTCTCTTTTTTTGAGATTTAGCAATAATCAGAAATGTGATTGAAATATTGTAACCTACCAGTCCCTGCACATTCTGATGTGTACCATAATAGCCATTCAACGTCATTCCACCCACAGTAAGACTATCCTATAACCAGCAAAGTAATAAAATTAACATATCACTAAAGTCTCACACCAGCAAATATATAGTCACTAGGGACAAAAAGGACACGTCGCAAGTCCCAACATTTCTAAAAGGTTTAAAACTACGACTGCTTGTAGAAAGGATTTATCATATACTGAAAGCATTTCTTATGGACTTGGCTATAGGCAACAAAATAATTAATACAGTGCTAAGAAACAAACCATTTGTTGTAAGCTGTCTTTTGCTTCAACAATTGCAGCTTCTGGTTCAGAGTGCATCTGAGATACCATTATGTTAATGGTCACATCAAAGGAGCCAAATTATTATAACAAGTTATGCTAAAAACAATCAATGATCCTAAAACTAACCTTCCGCTTCTTGTTTGTATTTTTCTTCCTACTTGTTTTAATTGCATGAATCCCTTGAGTATCTTCTTCAAGATCACGAAGTCCAACTGCACTGCTGCTACATTCTGTTAATGCAGAACTTCTATTGTTAACATTCACACAGTTCTTTAGAGCTTCATCTAGGGCACGGAAGGCAACGCCGTAACTCTCCTCAGATAAAGAACCCTCCACACCCAGTTCAATTGCCCTTCTACATAGATCATTGTATCTTTGTACTCTGTTTCGAATTCTTTCAGTCCCCTCAGATATTAACTGTATATTCTTTGCATCTTTGGTCCACCTCTTCAAAATATATTGGGATGGGATGATTGAAAGACCACACATCTGAAGAACAATCATTGCATGCCTACAGAGGAAACCATTGTATTCAAATAGAAGGCACGAACAAGAAACATCTGATCTTGCCTCATTCCACGTGACCATAAAATTTTCATCTTTCTCGCAGTCATCAACTCTAAAAGTTACATTTTCCCCATTTACAGCTTCCTTCTTTGGATGACACCCAACTACACCCAATACTTCAACTTGAAATTTCTTAAAGATTGTATGTGTATAAATTGTAGACATCTGCTTTTCCCAAGGGGAAGGTGACTTCAAAGCTGGTAGTTTGTGCAATGTATCAAAGTCTGCTATTGCTTCCTCTTCATATCGATTTTGCAGAATCATTCCATATTGTCTCATAAACTCTTTGAGACTGATTTTCTTATGAATGTACTTGTCAAAGAAGGAGCTTATACTCTCCGACCTTTGAGCTGTTGACATTCCAGCCATAAAACTGCCTCTCATGTAAGCTGGAATCCACTTTTTGCGGTCCTCATACAGTGTATGAATCCATTCATTCTCTTGCAGTTCAAATCTGCTAACCATCTTCCACCATCTTAAATCAAATTGTTCATCTGTTAACGACTTAAATATACACTTGCTGAATTTTTGCATGAAATTCTCATGCTGCTTTACTACATGAGCAAGTGTTTCCGGGATTCTTTCAAGCACATGCCAAAGCGCAAAGCAGTGACTTGAACATGGGAAAACTTCTTCAAGAGCGGATTTGAGTGACTTATCTTGATCAGCGATTATTACTTTTGGAGCCTTCCCACCCACTGCTCTAAGCCACGTCTTCATTAACCACACAAATGTTGGTTTGGTCTCATCTGCTATAAGTGCACATCCAAGCAACATCGGTTGACAATGATGGTTTACCCCAATCAAAAGAGCAAACGGCATCTTCTCATTGCTTTTCATATAGCTGGTGTCAAAGAAAACCACATCATTAAAGCTTACATAGTCTTTCCTACTTTTGGCATCAATCCAGAATAAGTTCCTTAAGCGTTGATCTTCATTGAGATCAGTTGCATAAAAGAAACATGGATTTTCTTTCTGGACATGCATAAAATACTCGAGCATAATATGAGCATCTCCCTCTTCTAATGACAAGCACCGACCTTTGTCAAACTGGTAATTTAAATCATTAGTCAGCAAGCCAACTTCTTGACTTCCACCACATTGTCTAGACATCTCAACATACATCTTTCTTGTTCGTTCACTTACAGCATTAAGAATATCAATGTTATTTTTCTCTGCAAGTTTAACATTCCTGTGGATTCGGAAATGATAAGCCAAGGCTGGTAAAAGCCCATGATTATGATCTTTTATAAACTCATGGACATACCATTTTCCATCACGCTTTCTCTTAACGTGCATGCTTGCTTTGCAATCAGTCTTTTTGACACTAGGACGCCTACTACTGCCAGTATCTGATTCTGGAGTAGTGCCATATCTAGAACATGCAAATTTAGCATCGATAAATTCTTTTGATTTCTTGGAGCGACGGCTGTTCTTAATTGAGGTTGTGAATCCCATGGACTTGGCATACTCTTGGTAAAATGCATACGCAGCCTCATGGGACTCAAATTCTATCCCATCATGTGGCTCAAAATCTGCATGTTCTTCAACTCCAGTAATACTTCTCTTTGGAGAACGAGAAACTCCGCCATCCCTACTGAGACATGACTTATCTACAGCATCAACCATATCACCAGTCAATTGAACACTACTTTGCACAACATCGCCATGATCAACCATTTTTTGGATAACATTTCAGTTCTTTTTGCTTAATCATGTTGTCTGAAAAGTTCTTCAAGAGTTATTTCCATGAGAAATCAGTCTTCTCCCACAATAGCTGGAGAGAAGAAAATGACAAGTCAGTACTAAAAATTACTTTCTTGTTGATACATCTACACTAAACATTAAACAATTTAAAAGTATGCAAAAGTTTCAAGTAATCTAACTCACCTCAACAGCCTAGAGTTGACCTGAAACCTGTTTACAATCCACAGTTCAGCAGCAAGTTGAAACCCAAGTCTAGCACCCACGAAGAGAAATGTTTCTACTTTATTCCTACAACAAGCAAATGAGTTATAATATACAAAAAAAATTCTGCAATATCTTACAAAATAAGAGATGCTTTCAACTATGCTTAAGCCAGTACATTTTGAATTCCAAATGGACATCACATGAAGTGGAGTAAAATTGTAATGTGTTGAATAGTTAGTGGATTCATCTCTCTCAAAATAGCAGCCCAGCTAGAAGAAGACCATGATTTCATTCTTAAAAATAACAATTAATCCAATGGGATAGTAACTGAAAGAATTCAAGCCAACTCAGAAAACTTATCAAGTGATGATGAAGCCTAAAAGAAGGCTATCATTTCGTAATGGTATTAAAATGGACTAGTAAATTTAGGAATTATAGAGCAACAGAGGAGGAAACACTCAGATCAAGAATGACAAATTAGGCTCTGTATAGATACTTAAATACAAATAGCCAATGAAATTGTTCCAATCCATGCCAAAAGAACAAAAATGACAACTACATCAAAAACATAGTGAACTGAAGGGATGTGACTATCAATCTAAAATGAACAGGACATGAAACTAAAAGGATAAGATGTTAAATTATAAATAGGCAAACAACAGCATTTAAACCAAAGTAAAGCATGATTTACAAGCAGAAATGAAACTATGCTTTCCTGTACAAGATCAAAATTATGAAACTGATTCAGAGTAGCATATCACCACTTCACATACATATATCCAGATCATATTGAAATAAAAACAAACAGAAAGCTAACATTGAACAAGCAGATAAACATTGAGCCAAATGAACTGCTAAAAGCAAAAGCAAAACCAGCAGTAATAAACAAGTATACCTCAGCGACACCGGAACAACGACCTCGAAACGATTTGGTGCTGAGGTTCGCCGGAAAAGAAAGTTTTTGAATTCCAATACTTGGAGAGAGGTTTTCTGATGAAAACCTGAGTGATGTACGAATTGAAGTAATTGAATACAGATTTGGAATGAAATTGTGATTTGGGGGAAAGGATGAGATGAAGATTGAAGAAGGAAACGGTAATACCCGGCTCGGTTCGAGAAGGTTCTTGGTGCGAATTCCGTGTGGAATTGTAGTGGCTTGGATGAGAGTCGATTAGGGTTACGATTTCTGGTTCGAGCCTGTCAAAGAAGAAGAAGAAGAGACATGGTGTGGGTCGGGATGGTATATACTCCCTTCCTTTCGTTTCAAAATAAAATATTCTATCGTTTTTAATTTATTTTAAAAAGAATAATTTTTCTTTTTTAGTAATACTTTGATTTAATTTTTAATATAATATATTTAATATCATAAAATTAAATAGTATTTTGAAATATTTGATATAATTTCAAATTAGAATCATAATATTAAAAAAAATTCTTAATTTTCGTTCTAAATTGAATTAGGTTAATTTTTTGAAACCAAGAAAGTATATTTTTGCCGTAAGAGTGGGAAATTGGGTTTGGGTTAAACAATATTTGGGTTATTAGGAAAACAAGGATGGAAAGCACCGCAAATATTTTTCAATTTAGTCAATCTTTTTATATTTTTTTTAGAAAATAAAATGCGCACTTACACGTAGACGATGATGTGCATGTTTTGCTACTTTTTTATACTATCAGTTTTGATTTTTTATTGATTTATTTGTATAGTTTGTCATTTTATTATGGAAAAATAGAAAATTTCATAGTTGGCTCATTCAAACCTTGTCTTTAGAAAATAAAATTATTGAGTTTGTGATGGTGTATGTGGAACTAATTCAAATTGATTATGATATTTATTCGGTATTTATGGTTTATTGATACTTCTTTTACTATATCTTTTAGTAGCGTAGATTTTTTTAGATTATTTAAAGTGTGAATTGATTATTACTAATTATTATTTATTTTACTTCATTTCAAGTAAAAATTACGTCAATTTTTATGTAATAATTTATTTTAATTTCTAACATTATTTCCATCAAGATGTTCTTGTACCTGTCTAAACTAGGGAGGTCCTTGGAAAATGTTTCTATTTTGTAAACTTCTCAAAAAGAAAAAAGAATCTTTTTCTTTTTTTTAACCTTGTCAAGGAGGTGTTCGAGATTTCACAATCCTCTACTAAGAAAAGGATATTAAGGGTCTGCCTATCTAACTAAATTAGAGTAGGTGTCCAAATGATCCCATAATTTTGATTATGATAATGTCTATATAATTATGGAGAATTAATTTTGATTATGATAATGTCTATATAATTATGGACAAGGTAATAAATAATTTAAAATCAAATTATTTTTAAATATAAAAACATTATTTTAGAACATACTATATTATTTTATAAAAATAAGTATTACATCAAATTCAACATAGGGACTAATATTTTATAATTGTTATACTAGTACATTGTCCATTCAATTTATTTAGAAAAAAATTGCTTAACTACATTCTTTTACTTACCTTAATATCCATTTATCTTGCTTATTATAAAAATTAGTGAAAATATTCGTGCTTCTTGTGACTATATAAAATATTTATAAGATACTAATATGAAATATGTAATATTTATGTTAGTATCAAATATATAGATAATATTAATATTTCTCCTCGTCTACGATATTATAGTCTTTCTTTAAACATATAAAATATATTTATTTATTTTATATATATAAATATTAGAACAAAATATTTACCGTGGTGAAGTAAATGGAATAAGAGATAATATAATGAAATAACAATATACTGTATTAGGTTGAAAATATTTAATATGTTTTAATTTTCTCTATCTTTTGTAGGATAACTAATGTTCTATTCAAACTCTGATTTTGTCAAAATAAATTTGATTTTTTATTATTATTACATTTGCTTAATATAAGTTTTTAAACATTAATTAAATATTTATAAGACTTACTAAAAATGAAACATATAAAGTTACGAATCATATTTAATATTAAAAGTTACAAGTAAGATGAAGAGACTTGAGTTATAAATAATTCAAATGTATAATTTTATTAGTCATTAAATATATTATTAATTATGTATTGATTTATTTGTAAAATAAATAAAAATAAGTGGTGAAAATACAAAAAATGAACAGAGAAAATATAATAATTGGTGACTACATAAAAATTATAAATATATTTCAAAGTAAAAAGAACTGTGACAGATTGTTACATACGCAAAAACTGACATCATGAAAATAATATTTTATTTTTCAATTACTTTTTATAATTATAATAAAAAATGAAAGTAATCATCATAACTTTTGATGTTTTTGTTAAACTGAAATAATTGTATTAATTTTTTTAATAACAAAGAGAAAGTAGAATACTAAAGGATCAAATGATTAGCATTGACAATATAATACATTTAGCTAAATTGTTTATATAACAAAATTTAAAAAACTCTAGCAAAGGTAACTAAGTTGCTAATACAATTCAAAGTGGAAAAATAATTTCTAATTATGCTTCATTTTTTTTCCTTCTACCTTCTTCCTTAGCAAAGAGATACACCATCTTGTTTTGATTCATATGTCAAACTCTTCATATGTGCAACCAACTGAATAAAAAAAATCATATACCGATTAAAAATAATTATGTCAAAAGAAAGAACGAAATATAGACTATAGTTGATATATTTGTATATTATCTTTTCAATAGTATTAACAATGCTAAATAATAATTATTTCTTGAAATCTAACAAATACTATAATCAAACTATCTTATATCTAGAAAACTAACTATTAGAAGCAATTGAATACAGACAACACATTGTTAAGAAATATAGAGATTTTTTAATCATACTTGATAAATTATAATACAAACATAAAAAAATATTAAAAAAATACTAAGTACATAAGAATAAAAAGAATGACTTTAGAATGAATATATCTTACCTTCATAAACTTTTTTTTGTTACATGTTAGTTAATTCACAAACAAGTATGATGAAGAAGAGAAATTATAACTTTGTATGTGAATCTTCATGAAAATAAATATGAATTTATATAGACAAAATAAAGGAAATGAAAAAATAAGGACTTCAGAATGATATAGTTATTAACTTCATGCACTTTTTTTGGTTACAATATGAATGTATATAGACAAAAATAAAGGAAATAAAAAAATAAAATTTTGCAATGAAATATTTCTTACCTTCATGTACCTTTTTTTGTTACAAACCAAACCTATATGATGAAAAAAGAAAGGATAATTGTGAGTGTGAATCTTCATGAAACTATGAATTTATTGACAAAATAAAGGATTATCATAAGACATCATAAACTTATAAATTTAACTTAGAGGTTATGGAAATAAAAATTATGAGTTATGAATATTATTAAAAGTAAAAAGTAAAAGAGGGGCAAGTCATGGATAGTAACCCCTAGTGAATAAATTAAAAAATAAAAATAAAAATACTTAAAATGTAAAAAAAAATTATTATTATTTCATGATTAGAAGTGAGATAAACAAATAGAAAAAAAAATATAGAGAGGCTTTTTTTATAAATGTTCCTACATTAATAAAGTATTTATTTGTATGAATAAAGTGATATATTTTTACAATAAATAATTAATTTAAACTTAAAAAAGTCAAAAATAAACAAATTATGTTTCTCCTTTTATTATAAGTGAGATAAATAAATAAAAAAATAAGAAGAGTTTTTGTTATAAATGATCCTCCATTAATTAAATATTTATTTGTAATAAATTTAAGTAATTTTTTAATGATATAATAATTAATTTATTTAAAAAAAAGAAAAAAAAAGAAAAAAAAAACTAAATGCAAATGGAGGTCATAGAGAGGTGCCACATCACCTTTATCTTTCTTCTTCAAATTACGAGTTGAGATTTGGGGAGAGTGGATAGGACAGGGTGGTGGATGACGTAAAGGAAGGGAAGGCCCATCCCGTCTATAGTCCTCCTTTATATATATGCTAGTGTACTTAGCCGCACTTCGCACGGTTGTGCAAAGGATTAAAATAAAATTACATATTAATATCAATAATTACATTGATAAAAAGAATTTTTTGTTAATCACATAATTTTATAGAAGAGAAACAATGAAAAATATTTAGATTAAATATGAATTTATTAAAGAATCAATATATGTGAACTTCAAAAAGTTAAATATTAAAAATAAATTTTATAGAGAAAAAGGGAAGGTAATAAGAATTGGGTAATATTAGAACTACTTAAATACAACTTGTGATCATTTTTTTCTTTTTTATTTGAGATTTTCTTAGTATAATTTATATATATTTATGTAAACTTAAAATCTAATCATTCTTTTATGCTTATTTGTAATTTTTTAAATTATATTCTTAGTATAATTTTTCCATAATGTATAACTCGGATTGCTATTAATAGTTAGTATTCATGAATATATAGTTAGGCAACACTATTACAAATCATTATCCACAATTGATATTACTTGTCCTCGTCATGACCCAATCATCACATGTTTTTATTATTTTTATTGTACAATATTAGATTAATTTAATATTTGTAATAATAACTTTTTAATAATTAAATTTTAAAGAAAGAAAAATTTAACAATCTTAATTAGTTAAATTTCATACTTATTATTATTATTTGTTATAAATCTATTGTGTTATGTGGATGATCCATTAGGGTTATCCAACAATTAATTGGATTCATGTATTAGTGTTTCCAATGTGATAAGATTCCAAGGTGATATGAACCTTGATGATAACTATGTATAATTCCAAGGTGACCTTTGACTATGATATCTCAACACTATAAATAGAGATATCATTCACCATTGTATATACTTGAATAAGAAGAAAATTACTCTTCTTCTATCTACTTCTCTTGTCTTCTTCTCTTTATGATTATATTCTTATGAGCTTGATTTTATAACACGTTATCTGCACGAGTCTCTATCTGATTTAGAGTGAGTTCTTGTTTTTCTTTAACTCATATTTTGGTTGATCTCGTTATGAAGATCAAAGTATTATATGCATAAAATCAGGTATGCATTTTCTAAAATATTTTATGATTTAGAATAAAATAGTGTTCAGTCACTAACAATTATCAGGAACCGAAGACATATACTACTATTAATTGAATATGACATGCTATACAAAACTTTCTAAATGGAAGAAAGTATAAAATTTTAATAGAATGAGTTTGAATATTATTTTAATTGTTTTGAAAGACTCAAAGAATAAATCATGTTGTACTTCGATTTATTATACCGTTGGTTAAGGG